AATGTCCCTTCTCAGCGTATGTTCTGCTTCTAACTTTGCCATTTTCTCCTCTGCCTTGCACGACGGCGTCTCCTGACAACGACCCTTTTGGGATATGCTATTGCACCCGGCAGAGCAGACATCTCCGGCCCTGAGAAGAGCTGAGGCATTTGGGTATGAAAAGTCCTGGCACGAGTTGTTTGTCTCCTTGACCGTGACCACAGCTGCCTGATACCCCTCCTCGTCATTGTTCCCTTCCTTCTCTCCATTGATCGATCCGACCAATTGGAATTTTGAGCATAAACTAATTCAGAACTGAATACAGCCTCAAATGTACACTCAACAGGGCCGCTTGTTCGAGCCCGCCCTTGTCCGGTGAACTGACGGATTAACCGGAGCCTCAGGTCGAAATGAAGCCCGAAGAGCTTATGGAACACGAGACTGAGGAGATACGAAAGGGCTTCAAGTATTTTGATCGCACCGCCGCCGGATTCATTAAGACCGAGGAGCTTGGTACCGCTTTACGCTGGATAAAACTGATCCCTTCTTCCGCCGACATTGATCGTTTCATCGCGCTAGTCGATCCGAATCACACAGGCAAAGTCAAATGGGAGTCTTTCCTGTACATTGCCTGTCAGCTCTGGATCTCCGATCCGCAGCAACGGGAAGCGGAACTCTGGCAGGCCTTCTTGACCTTCGACAAGAACGACAAAGGCAAAATGACACCAGAACAACTCAGGTCGATTTTGCTTGAAATCGGCGAAAACCCTCTGACGGAAAAGGAAGTAAACGCCATCATAAAGGACGCAGTAGACAAGGAAAACATGATAGAATATGGTTATCTCATCAGATCATGGCAAAAGTAGAAAATTCTTCAAGTACACCGCCCTCATTTAGCCTAAGGTCAACTACTTCGCGCCACATTTGAAATACTTGAAGACATTTTAAGGAGCCCCAAATGTATGACCAAATTACTTTACCAAGAAATAAAGGCTAAGACGAGTACACAATATGCTTGCATCACCTTAAATAAATCACACAAATCCTGCCATAATCGCCGTCCCCCCAGCTACTGACGACTGTGGGGACCAGGAAAAATGTGTGTTGCTATAGTGAGTATTGGTATGTTCAATATTTTGGCTTCATGACAGGCCTTAATCGCCATCTATTGGTTCAGAGATTGCCCTGAACCAAGGTAAAAGTGACCGATTAGAAGAGTATTTATTCAGTACATTTTTCATTTAATACATAATTCGTGCCTGAGCGGGCGAGAGAGAGAGTGGAAGCCAACGCCTCACATGTAAGAAGTGAGAAATTTACGTCAAAATATGAGATGTACTGGCTCTAATTAATTTCAGTTGAATTTTCCCACAATTATATAAGTAGAGCTGCTCTTTCCATTGCATTTTGCATATCTTTGCCTACCAAAAAGGTGTCCGACTTCCCCTGGGGGTGTTGATAAGGCCTATATGAGGTCGAGACTGCGGTCGACCTGGATGAGAACTGTGTAAAATTTAATGAAAATGTCAGCTCTACTCATATTCATTGTAGTAAATTCCAATTACAGGTTCCTCATTATCTTAAACCAAATAGTGCAAATACAGCTCATATTACTGGCTTTTTGGTAGTTTCGAAAGCCTACTTATAAATGAAAAATTACATACAAATGTTTTGGCAGCATCTCATGTACTGTCTAAAGTGACGTACATATTTCTATCGTGTTTTTTTTATACAAAATACATCAATAGACATGAAATTTTTAAAGAGATGCCATGAATAGACAATACATTACCACGTGGTCATGTCGAATCACCTCAAAGGAGAGGCTGGTTGATTTCGAACCACTTAAGCAATACTACTACTAAGTAGTATAACATCCACAAATGCGTCATTTTCATTTATTAGAGAAAATGCATAAATTATAAAAATGGCTGCAACCTCGTTTTCGCAGCTTAATCTTGATTCAGAGTAGAAGTTATCATGAGCTGAATCGTCGTATTACGGC